CTCTGACCTTTAAGTGAACCACTTGTTAAATACAATCAATGTCCCGGAAAATGTGTCAGGTCTTTAAATAGGGATTATGTGTGCGGTATTTCCTTTCTAAAGATTATTGTGAGGAAATCAGTGAAAGCACCCATCTATATTAAAACAAAATACCAAAAGAATTGCATAGCATTTCAGAAAAATACTTTGTGGGATCTGCAGCTGCTGTAGTAAAATAATTATACTTTTATAAAGGGAAAGAACATAATTTCAGATATATTACGTTCCTGGGAAATTTTTCATATAATTTGCCACTGATTTTCCAAACCCACGAATTGTCAAAAAAGCAGTCAACGATAGTTAGAATACCCACAGTTTAAATTCAGGTGTTTTTCAGAATTATTTAAATACAAGTATTTGGAGAAAGACGCATTATGTCTAATTGGCCAAGAACTATATATTTTTCTGTCATGTACTCCCACTAATTTTTCTTTACTTGGAAACTAATTTAAATTATTTAAGTCACTGACTTAATGAATTCAGACATTTGCTAGTTTCAATTTAAAAATAAAGTCACCTAAAAAGCAATCATAAATATGAAGTTTAACTATAGTTATTAATTAGATGGTGATTTTTGTCCAAAGTGATGTTACATCTGTTTAGAGAAATTTTTGTGTAAAATGTCACTTGGCATAATCTTCTCTGCAAAATGCTTTAAATGTACCCCCACTGGTGCCAATTGTATCAAGAAATTTATCAAGAAAAAATAGAAAGGTACTAAATTTAAGGTCACCTGACTAATAACAATTCTGGTGAGAGAAAAGAGGGGCAAAATTATTACCAAGACTTCAGAAAGGCAATAGAAATTCAGAAGAACCAACATAATTTCTAAAATCAAGTACCAGAACGACATAGACCAGTGAGTATAATACCATGTACCGGAGTGCCATGTATTTAGCGTTTCTTCTGAGGCTGAGAGTAATATATCTCCCGAAACGTATAGGATTAATTATTCAGCCACTAACAACTGCCGCGAAAGCCTTTAAACCAAGACGGATTCAAAGCAAGTCAGTTTGTCAGAGTAAGAGTGTCTTGCAAAGACAAGCAAACTCAATCCTCAGAGCTTAAAATTTCATGGAAATTGGTCTACTCTGTATACTACAAAACAGCTAAGTCGAAGTAATGGTTAAGACTAGATTCAAAGTATAATATGCCTCAAATGTCTCCTTGAAGTATTTGTGGCATCTCTCCCCTATTATTGAATCAATTCTACCAATTGCCATGGGATATAGTCTCCAAAACCTTTTTGCAATGTTATTGAAATATTGCAAATACTAGCTATAGAACATAAATTTAATATTATTTTCAATTATCAAACTCGGCGTAGATAAACTTGGAGTAGACATGTCTGAAAATGTATTTTCAACTATAACTTCAAATTGTCTATTGTTATAAAATAAATGAAATGCTTAAAACCGACCTACCCATATGTTACATCAGATAATTTGAAGAAAAAAATGCTTAATTTAGCTCTTTTCTTACTTTCATAATTCATTTTGATAATAGGACTTTTTGTGACTCCTATGCAATATTTTGCAATATTACTGATCACTTACATACAGCATGATAGCTGGGTGGCTAGGTATGATAAATCTTTATATAACAATTTAACGAAGGTGATGATTTTAAAAAATTACATGACTCATTTTTAGTTGCTCGTCACCGGGAATCAGCAAACCACAACAAAAAAGTATACAATATGTAAATGGACTTTTTGACATTTACCGTGTTTTACTGTTTCTGCGTTTATAAAAGCAAAATTTTAAATACTTACAACGAAGACTTCAGTTTTTTATCTTAGAAAAAATGTTCTCAAAACAAAGCCTAAGGTACCCAATACTTGTTTTAGCTTCTACTAGATCTAATTTGGAGGAATTATTCAAGAATATATCTCTATATTCTTGTGTATACCATTTTTCAACATAATTTTTTCTTGAAATATACTTCCAAAATATTCTGGTGACAAAAACTTTCATTGCCCTTGTCTAACAAACTTGTTTTATTGACAGCTACGTGCAAAACGTGAATCGCGTTGCTAGTGACTCAACTCGCCCGTTGCAACTTTACATAGTGTGAATATTACAAGGAATTAGTTTTACTAATGAATTAGCTATAGACCAGGCAATAAAGAGAAAAATATTTAGATTTTCGCGGCCCGGTCCGATTTTAATGCGTTTTTTTGCATTTTGTTCAGAAAGACCGTCGGAAAAATGTCCCGCCTTTTTTATTATCCGGAAGTGGCGGATATGCACCGCGGGTGCATAAAGTGCATCTAGAAGTGCATCGCATCCGAGACACTTGCCAAAGTGCACGAAATACCGCAAAAATTGGTACTCGGGGGTTTTGGGGGGCGCAGAATTTGAATATGCATATATCCAGTCCACCCGACCCCCCGGGAGGGCGACTTTCGGCCGCCTAGGGGGCGCGGGGGGCACGTGGATTGCAAGGTTCCCCGAATGACTGAAAAAATGGATCTCGGGGGTTTTCGCGGGTGCTGATTCCGAATTCGAGGTGAAAAATATGAATATTATAACCCCTTGCCCCCCACCGCCCCCTCCACGAGCACAGGGAATATTTTTCACCCTCAGATTCGGAATCAGCACCCGCGAAAACCCCCGAGATACATTTTCCCAGTCATTTCGAGAACTTTAGATTTCAACCCCCACCCCCCCCCTCACCCACCACAAGCACAGGGGATATTTTTCACCCTCGAATTCGGAATCAGCACCCGCGAAAACCCCCAAGATCAATTTTTCCAGTTATTCGCAGAACCTTGCAATCCACGTGCCCCCAGCGCCCCCCAGGTGGCCGGAAGTCGCCCCCCGGGGGGTCGGGTGGACTGGATATATGCATATTCAAATTCTACGCCCCCCAAAACCCCCGAGTACCAATTTTTGCGGTATTTCGTGCACTTTGGCAAGATTCCGTCACTTCCGGATAATAAAAAAGGCGGGACTTTTTTCCGACGGTCTTTCTGAACAAAATGCAAAAAACTGCATTAAAATCGGACCGGGCAGCGAAAATCTAGATATTTTGGGGTAAATCGTTCTTTATTACCTGGTCTATATTTGGATGTCTATCTACCGACATGTAAGTAAGTATGGGTGAACTCTAGCCCATAAGGCATACGTCATTTGTCATACCTTTAAACGTTATTGCTACTTTAATGCCTACTAGCACAAAACATTGTGCCGACTTTCTGATAAATGATTTTAGATCTTTCCAGATATTGCGGCTATAATTTAAAGCTGTGGAGTAGTTGTATCTTACAATATAATTTATTTGTATGATTAATTCACCTAACGCGATACATTTAAAGCACTTTCATATTAGTATGTCCGATGTCGCATTGTGTCAATAGATATAACGAAATGCTTTGTGATAGTAGGCAATAGTAAGCAATAACAGTTAAAGGTATGACATTTGCTTTACAGTATACCTCGTATATCTTCCCATTTCGAAGGAACATTTTCTTAGGACTTCAGTATAAAATTCCATAGGTCTAGTGTAAGAAGTGTCTAGTAATTATTGATCTTGTTAGGTTATAGCAAAATATGTATGGCAAGTGAAAATAAAAATGTGTATGCTTAAATTGTTAAGTACTGTTTAAATTTATCTAAAAACTAAAGAAAATGCAGTAAGACCAATGCCAAATGCATCAGAAGTTTTTAAAAATTCATCAACTGAGTACAAATAGCATCTTAGGAAAAATGATTTTATTATTCCTCAGGGGTAAATTAAAACTAATTTTATTTAATTACAGGTGTTACATACTAAAATGTTATTTTAATGAAAATATTCAGACCAATGTCAAATAATATGGAAAAATTGTCGATGGTTGACAATTCTAAATAAACCACTTTTGTTTTAAATCAGACGTTTTTCAAATATCTAATTATCCAAAAATGTATTAACTACTTGACGAAATACATTATAGTACAGAGTGATGGTGACTGTGATGGAGTAAAATGTTTTAATTCAGTACCTATATACATTTCGTTTCCTTCATCGTTGAATTGATTGTATAAAACTACTAATAAATGACAGTTTTTGTGTGAAAATTAATATATTTGTAAATTTTCTTTCAAGCCATTGTGGCAAATTGGGGACAAACAGTGTCATTTATACGCAATCAATGTTTTTCCCAATGATTGCCATTTTCCTGTTTTCCTGATGATGGCATAATATTCGAAATTGGCAAAAGAAAATAAATATTTATACTGAATTAAAAAGGACACAAATTGACCCTACCTCAATGAAAAATGTACTAATTCACTGTATTAATCAAAAACATTTAAAATGCAATGTACACTGGAAAAAAATATTTGGATCAAATGAGCAGATAGTTTTAAATGGAATTATTTGCCGTAAATGTTATTTTATTCTACTCAAATATATATACCTTCCTCAAACTATGTGAAATATTTGCTGTAATCTATAATTTTTCTTACAATTTATATTATCTCGAACTTTAGCTATAATATCTCTTACAGTTCATCATAAACTTGAAACATATTTGTTTCAAAACCACCAGTTCCTTAAAATATATATGTATATTTAAGATTTAGTATTAATGTAGGAATTATTCAAGACAAATGTGGCATATTATAATGAAACTTATGTTTTCTTGAAAGAAAATTTTAGCAGGTCATAGAATGGCGTAGGTTGGAAGTAGTACGATAGATGGAGCCACTTACGCTCTGTGTATACCCATTTTATTTTGAGTAACGACACAAAAGCAGCTGGATCGTTCTAACGACATAATGATGAGGACCATCAATAAGTACCAAACCGACCTATGCCTGTTTGGTTAAACTTACAAACGATCCTGGCTGTCGTACTAGGTGTTGTGAGTTTGAAACAAAATATTTTTATTACTGAGAAATATTTATATCCAAATACATTCTTAAAATAAGTATATATATATATATATATATATATATATATATAAATTATCCTAGAGTACTGCCTCCCGGTTTAGGCGCGTTCGCCGCGGATCCGTCTGGCCAGTTGGATGTCTTTCGGCATGATGGTGACTCGTTTGGCGTGAATGGCGCACAGGTTGGTGTCTTCGAATAAGCCGACGAGATACGCTTCGCTGGCCTCTTGCAGGGCCATCACGGCGGAACTCTGAAACCGCAGGTCTGTCTTGAAATCCTGTGCGATCTCCCTGACCAGACGCTGGAAAGGTAATTTGCGAATTAAAAGTTCCGTACTTTTCTGATAACGACGGATCTCTCTTAGAGCGACGGTACCGGGTCTNTGAGAAACTTGCAGTTGCCTGGACACCTGTCTTGTGCTTGTACCACAGTCTTGTTCTAGATGTTCCAGTGTAGCTTCCTCAGGTTCAACAGTTCAGACATTACGCCTTCTTCCGGCACCCTCACGATTGGGCTGAATTTTACCAGTTTCGCGAAGTCTTCTTTCCACCGAGGCCAATGTTTGTCTATGAGGAATCGGTCGGTTTGGATATCTTTAGTCTTAAAATAGTAACGCTGCAGGTTACTATTTTTTTTGAATTCGAAAAACACTTGGAGAATGTCGACATATTCGTCATTGGTCATAATTATTCTGATAATAAATTAATCAATTGGTACTAATTATTGGTTCACAGAAAGTGTCTATTTATTAATATGATATTTAATAATTTATTTGTTATGACATCCGCCCACTTTATTTTTACAAATTTTCGCAATTACCCCTTTAGTGAACGATGACGCATCTAATTTTTTTACTAGAAAACTACCAGTTTTATCGAAAAATTACAAGAGGTAAAAAAGTTGCGCAATAAATCATTCTTCCCAACAGATATTTTTAAATAAATAATTTGCTTCGTATAAAAAATTTCTAATAAAATATTGCAATGAGGTTGACTGTTTCACTCCTTTATAAAATATGCCAATGATCGAACAAATATTGAAAAGTTGTCTGTTTATTAGTAGGATGCTCATACCAAGTTTCGTGTCTCTAGCATTCCTCATGTTAAAGAAAAAAAATTAAAACGTGAATTTCAATCCCCTCCTTTAAGAGGGTATATCGTCTCAGGGGTGCAACTTTTATATAAGGTATTTTTACTTCAATCCTCTTATTTTTGGCTCTACATTTACTGGTACCATTTTTGCTACTTCATTTAAAAACCCCCTGTATTTTAGCCAAAGTTATTTAAATAAAAACTTGCAAATACGTGTGAATTTCGAATAATCTAGTAGATTTAGGAAATGAAAAAACTAGTTCTGTTCATTAAGAGAGGTACGTGCTTCTGGAAATTATGATCCGAAATCGATGTATTATTCATGCAGTATCGGTACTGGGTCATGTATTAAAATTTCTCAGAATGAATGGCTATGAGTAAAGCCATTTACCATACCCGACCCCCTAGTAAGCTTTTTGCTGCGCTGGAATGTGCCGCCCCTTCCTGGACATAAATTGTGCCACAAAAGTTAGAAACAGTCGTTAATTATTCACGAAAACAGATGGATTTTCCTGTGAATACCGAAATATAACACTTTTCACTGAATCATCGAGGAATGATTACATTGGAAAATCAAACCCAATAAATAAATCAATGCATTAATGATTTGGTTTAATTATTTATTTATAATTATTTATTAATATATTTAATGTTTAATTAATAACATTAGTCATTTTAACGATTTTATTTTAATAAATGCTCAAAAATACCTCTAATTCCATGAACACAGGCCCGACATTTTTTTGGTAACAAAAATGTAATTTGTTCGAAATTTACTGTTGCTTGAATCTGACGAAAAGCATTATTTATTCTTTCTTCTAACTGCTCAGAATGTCAAAGTTGCTATCGCAGCTCACTATGTAATTTTAAAAAGCATTATATTCGAATATCGAAATGTGTTCTCAGTTCGATTTTAAAGTTTTACTCGATCAGGCTTCCTTCGAAAAACATAACAGAGTAATAATTTGTAAAAAAAAGCCTTCAGATATTGGACAATGTTTATATGAATACATGTGCCCAATTTCAAACTATTTCACTTACTAGTTTTTAAATTATTTAAAAAAATTAAAATATTTTTTGAAGTTTAACACCCTGTATCTTTCTAATGAAGCGTCCTAGATAAGAACTGTATACGAAAGACTCCCCTTAAAATTCACAAAAGGATACGAGGTTTCATTTTTGGTCACCATTTGTAAATCACTCTGTATATGTCATTGTCGAGATGTCTGATCCCAGTCTCTTGCACCATAATCTAGTTTAAAGTAGATGCAATATTCACTAATGAAATTCGAAATTGACTACATTTATTATGAAGTTTGAGTATTTGCAAATCAAACTATTCACCAAAAAATGTCTACCAATACAAAACAATACATGTAAAGATAGTGACAATTACAACGCAGTGATCGTTGTTATGCTCCAAAACTGTGCACAGCTTGTTTATTGGAAAAATAATTAATACGGTACTAATTAAAACAATAAAACAGTAAATAATAAATTTTTATTTTGTTGATCATGTCTATCTTGCTTCTTACTTTGGCGCGCCGTCGTAGAATTATACGAAAAATAAACCAATTTGAAATTGAAGCTACTGGTTTTCGAGATGCACAGTTGAATTTGAATAAAATGTCGTATTTATTCAAATAGGCTGATGACACTTGGACTATTTGCATCGTAAAATACGAATATTATGAATATGAACATATTGAAATTGTTGTTGTTGGTATTGTTATTGTTGTTTTTGTTGTTTGCTGTTGTTGTTGTTGTTGTTGTTGTTGTTGTTGTTGTTGTTGTTGTTGTTGTTGTTGTTGTTGTTGTTGTTGTTATTGTTGTTGTTGTTGCTGTAAAGTTTTAGTTAAATGAAAATTGGAATAAATTTTGTATGATGCAGTAAAGATAAGGCGGAAAAACAATATCTTGTGAGAAAGGAATAAATTTTAAAGAAATTAAACAAAATGATAATTAAAAAATGTATGTATATACTTATTAAATCCATAGTAATTACATACACAGATATTTATGTACTATATTATGACTGTAGCATTATTTCGTACATTATTTCTTAAAAAAATATCCAGTAGATAAATACAATTATTTTTCTCTATTTTTCACTATTTTTAATGGTGTTTTCGAAAAAATACGTTAAGTAAAATGACAGCAACTTATAATTTTTTAACTGGAATATACTTTTAAATGTTCTATTAGAAAGCTTTCTTAGAGTAACAGTTATGGTTTGATGGGTCTGCTTTTAATAGTGTGGAAGATATAGTCAAAACTGAGGTCAAAACAGTGTGTCTATTCTACCGGTTTTGAATTCAAGTGTTGAAAGAAAATTCATCCATATAAATGTCAAATTTACATTAAAAAATCAAAACATATCTAGGTACTCATTTTGCATTTACTACCTTTTTTCTTAAAAGAGTGGTAACTGGGACAACCTTACAGTCAAAACCTAAAATATGATCTTGTATAAGCATCTGACAATAACAATTCCACAACAATGCACGCGTGGCAGGCAGTCGCGTTCAGAAAATTGATTCGGTTGATGTGGAGTATGCCATTATGAAATGTTGCGTCGATCTGCAGAAATCCTATCAGGTTTCCATCATTATTGATGATGAGAATCGGTTTTACATTTGTGAAAGTAAATAAGTTAGCATGGCCTGGAAATTACCCAGTTTTTGACGTCAAAGGAGTCCATGATGTTAGCTCTGAGCGAAAGGTTATTGTGATTTCTTTCTCCGATCCCCCGAAAATCGATTACGAATATAAAGTACTACGGTTACTGTATGCTATTATGAAAATTATGGCTCAATATATCCTATGAAATTTGACCCCATTTGATTGACACAATAACCCAAAGCTTCACGTTTGTAGTTTATACTATATATTCAGTTTAAAAAAATGAATGAACAATAAGAAATGGCATAAACAATTTCATAAAAATTGTTAACGATATCATAACAACATTGGGTTTATTTTTACGAGATATTTGAAAAAATGCAATATAATTTAGGTCCCTATTTTGCAACGTGCAGTTTAGTTAGAGGAATTACTAGAAGGGGATGTAGCTTGATTTCCAGAAACAGTTAAGGGAAAATTGCGTTTATAATATTACATAACTTTTGCGTGACATTGTGAGACTTATGCCCATTGCTGAAACTATACATGAATTAGAATAAAATATTTGATACGCACAATTGTGATAATCTCAACGTTACGCTTGGTGAAAATTGAATGAAAATATGTTTTTCAACCCTTTTTTTACTGTCAGATCGATGATTTATGGTTAATGGTTCACGTAAAGTTTTACTATGATCTTTACACCTATAGTTAAAAGATTCAAAAGATAAAAATCAGAAAAGGTCTCTACCAAGCTGTTATATAGGTACTGTGTACTTTTGTAATATGTCAAAATGGCTTGTAACTAAAAATGACAAATAAATAATTATATACAATATTTAGATAATAACACTGCATTTGAAATTGTATTTCCAACAAAAAAATGTCTATACTTTTTTGTAAAACCAATAGTTTTGAGATTATTTTTTATCAATTTAGCTATGTCGTAGACTTACTTTAAATTTTAAAAAATAACACCTTTTATTAAAAATGCCAACCGCAATTAAAAGCGCTTATCCAATTTGGTTCTCATTGACAGATTTGAGTACCAACTCAATGAATGTCTGTTCATAATTAGTCATTAGCCAAAATTTAATAAATTCACCACAAACGATTTAAATAAATGCATTGTTTTTATTTCGAAACTCTGTATTCCGAAAACAAGACGTTACAACATCTGTATTGAACTTTTTATCTTAGAATTTACATATTATTTATTTAATATGCAGCTAAAAAAAACATAGCTATTTGCTATTCACTGACGTGCTGTGAATGATATGGTATTATCTAACATGGTCAAATAATTAGAGATATAGAAGTGCACAACAAAGTTCAGGATTTCGACCAAATCGTATCAGGACCGAGAGGGTACGGTATTGCATAACCTAGGAACGTTTGATCTAATGATATGGGAGTGGAGAATGACGTCATTTGATTTTTTTAATAACAAATCAAATATTCTAACTGCTTTTATTGCGGGAAATAATTATTCCAATTGATATGTTTGGTAAAACAAAAATATTATCTGAAGGTATTTTGTAGAAAATCCGTTTTTCTTTTTTCTTTTGGGAGGGGGGGACTTATTTGTGCCTACTTTAGCAGAAATGTCAGAAACAGATACCTTAAAACATATCTGTTGTCTAATTTTAAGCAAATATATTAACTCTCTTGTATTTTATTTTCTAGTT